TAAATAAATAAATAAATAAATAAATAAATAAATAAATAAATAAATAAATAAATAAATAAATAAATAAATAAATAAATAAATAAATAAATAAATAAATAAATAAATAAATAAATAAATAAATAAATAATAACCATATCTTTACATCTTTAAAATAACGTTTATAAATAGTATTTTAAATTAAATAACATTTATAAATAATATTAAAAGTATTAACTTAAGTAGGAAAAATATTATTTATAAATAATATTATAAATAAAGTTTATAAACTAATAATAATAATATATATATTAATTATAATCCTTTCTATTTTTATATATATATTTAAGTTTTAATAAATTAATAAATAGAATAATATTTTTTTATCTTTATATATATATTTAAGTTTTAATAAATTAATAAATAGGGTAATATTCCAGTATTTATCTTTTATATAATATATAAATATTAAATTTTTCGAAGTAATAAAATAAATATCTTCTTATATTAATTAAAAAATAGAAATGTTTTAAATAATAACGATATCCTAAACGATAAAATAGTCCAACTAATATTTATAATTTAAATAGGTTATTATAATATATATAAAGGTATTAATCCTACTTCTTTTTTAATAATAAATCATTTATAAAATCTTTATTTAAGCTAAAAGAGAATTAATTATACTTATAATTAAAAGAATTTAAATCGTAATAGTATTTAATAAAGTTAGAATTTTAATAATACTTTATTTATCTTTTTAAAATAGCAATTATTTTATATATAATTAAAGAAAATTATTCCTATTTATAATAATATTAATTAATACCTTATTTAATACTATTAGCTATTTTATAATCTATATCCTTAATATTATTAGCTAAATTATATTTAAACTTCTCCACTTTAAAAATAATCTTTTAAATTTAAGCAACCTTAATAAATAATTTATTAAAGATCTTTAATCTTTCCTTCTCATTTAATATTATTACTTTAAAAGCAATATTATTAAAATAAATATAATAATAACTATAAATATAAGTCTTTATATTTTATTTAAGCTTTTTAATTATAAAAAAAAAATAATAACATTATTATATTTAACTACTAATATAGTTATTTATATATAATTAATTATTAATTTAATAATCTTTATAAATATTTTTAAATAACATCTTCAGCTTTACTATATTAATATATTACTTAAAAAATAACAATTCTTTATTAAATATAAATTAAATTATTAATTAACTATTATTCTTTATAAAAAGGTATCTTAAATAATATAAAGGAAGTAGGAATAATAATATTAAAAAGATTAGGAAAATTGCTATTTTTAAAATAAATAATACTATTAATAATTAATATCTATAACTTTATATTATAAGGGTCTTCTTTATCCTTATTTAAAAAGTTAATAATAGATTTTAATAAGGGTAATTATATTAATAGGAATAGTAAGGAAGGTATAACTTTAATAAAATAATTAAGCTAAAATTTTAAAACTTTAGCTATTTCGTTTAATAATATAAAAAAAATAAAGCTATAACGAATAAAAAGCTATTCGATTATTATTAATAGGGTTTTAAAGTTATATTCTATATTACTATATATATAAAATACTTTAATTTCTTTTTAAATAGAAATATATAATACCTATTTTAGCATTTTAAAATTATTTTTCTTATAAATATCTATAATTAAAGTTAGGTCCTTTTAAATAGAAATATATAAAAGCTATTTATTTAATTATTAATAAGGATATATTTTAACATTATAAATAATAATAATTATAATATTATACCTTAAAATAATAAAGAAATAATTATAGATTTTAATTTAATAATTATATAATATTACTATATTTTTAATTAGGTTAATATTAAATATTATAGTAAAATAGTTTCGTTTATAATTTTTCTATTTAAATATACTTTTTTCATTAAAAGAAATAAACTAATTAATATTTTAAAATACTTAACAATATAAATACTATTTTTTATTATTTTATTAAATAATAATTCTATAATTATTAATTATTAATTTTAAATTACTACTATAATCCTAAAGGAGTTTTAAAATATTAAAGCTAATAAAATTGTTTAAAATACTATTTACTATAATTAGGTTTATATAAATAATAGTTTTATAATTTATAATAAATGCTATTATAAATAATAAAGGTTAGAATATATCTATAGTTTTAAAAATAGTATTAAAAATAGTATTAAAAGGAAGGAATAATAAAATAATATTAATATATATATTAAAGGTATAAAAAAATAAAGCAATATTAATATATTATAATAATATTAAAGGTATATAAAAGTATAATATATAAAAACAATATAAATTTAACTACTATTATAAAAGTAAATAAAATAATATTAATAGTTTATATTTAAAGTACTTATATATTATTTAAATACATTTTATAAATTAATATTATAATATTTATTTTTAAAATAATATTAATATACTTATACTTTATTTATATAATTATACCTTTACGGTTTTTATTATTATCCCTTTATAATTAAGGGTTATATTCTTATATTATAATTTTATCCTATGATAATAGGTATTTTTTATTATAGTTTTCTATAAACTTTATTACATTTTTAAAAAATAAGCTTTATAAATATTATTTATTATATTTATCTTTAAAACTATCCTATTTTATAAAGTACTTTAATATATAATACTTTATTAATATATTTATTTA